GGAAGGCAAGTTTGTTTTTGGAGCTTTTGCATGGCCTTTCTCAGCTCCAAATTTTGAGAGTAGAATTGACAAGATCTTAGCATGGACTATAAATTAAAGTCATATTTGAAGATTAAGTTTGGTAAGAGTAAACTTTTTATGGAGGTTTTTTATTATAGTTTTTTTTTTTTCTTAACCTCTTAGTGTTTAAAATTCAACTCAATCAACTAAAAATTGAATTTGGAGTCTCTTTTTCTCTCCAAAATTTAGTTTTTAATGGACCCCTATGTCGTAAGGCTAATTAAAGGCCGTATTCTAGTTCCCAAAACAAATATTGTAAAAAAGTATATTTCTTAATTCAACTGATAATGAAATGATTATAATAATTTGATAATGTTAGCAAAAATTTGTTAATTAAATAAATCAACGAGCAAAAAAAGTAATTACAATAAAATGATGACTTTGCAAATTCTAGCATAAGTCTTTGTTTAAATTAGCCAATAATAACTTATAGAAAAAGAAAAGATGAGCAATCAATCCGTCAAAGAAAAGAATATTATATTGCATGCCATTATATTGCACTCAAGAAAAGCATAGACTTAACTTGTCCTCACAATACTTGAAATGAGAGGAAATTTTTATTCAAATTTACAGTGTGAATTAAGTACTTCAAACCACTTTAAATTTGTTCATGACTTATATTTTTTAATTTTTTTATTTTGGAAAAATGAGGGCCCACCCTAGATTTATTAAAAACTAAATAACAATACAAAACACATAAACAAGACTCAAAATGAATTAAAAGTGAAAATAAACCTATAAAATTCAACAAAATAAAAATAATATAGCAACACAACTCAAAAAAACAATAAATGACAACAACCACAATCTTCTCAACAATGAGAAAAACATTTTAAAAGCAGCAAGCAAACCACAACAATAAGAGAAGAGCATTCTTGAAGAAGCAACCAACAAAAAAAAAAAAACAATATCATCCTCATAGCGGAAAAAAACGTCATCAGCACCAACAAACTTGGAGAAGTAAATGACAAGAGATAGTAGCAGTAACCATTCAACGAACAATGACAACCTTCTCAAAACCAACAAACTTGGAGAAGTAGACAATAAGAGTTAGTAGCATAAACCACAAATGAGCAAAGACAACTTGAAAAAATAGAAAAATAACAAAAGTAGTCTAAAAATAACAAAACAATTGTCAAGAAATGCTAATTAAATAAATTAATAAAGCTGAGTCAAATCCAAAACATCATAGAGTAATTCCAACCAGACTATATAGAAATGTTAATTTAGTATAAAACCCTCTATAGTTTGTTGAAAATAAGTTTTTGTCCAAATTTATTTGCAGGGAAAATACCAGAAAAAGATATCTAAAGAATAACAAAATTACCGAGTAAGGGTATGTCATCGCTTCACCTAATAACTAAGCAAAAAAGAGTAAGATCAAACAAAGTATCTGTAAGTTTCAAGAAAATATCAACTACTGACAACATTCTCCCTAAACAACAAAAAAATCAAAGTCCCGCCACTCAAAAAGATAAAAATAAACAAAAGATCAAACAAAATATCTGAGTACAAACCAACAAAAACTGATCAAAATCGAACATACTAAAATCAAATTACAGAAGAAAAGAAATCAAAATTACGAAGAACAGACCAACAACAACATAATGAAGAAGGGAACACAACTAATAAAACAAAAGAAATAGAGATATTTCAAATAAAAAATTTATATAAGATATAACAGAAAATCAGTAATATTAGTAGCAAATTAAGTAAAGAATAAGAAATAATATCAGCTATCCAAAACAATAAAAACATAAAATCAACCAACATTTAAAAATCGAAGAGCAACGACACCAATAACCAACCGAAATAGAAAAAAATATCTTATAACTAATAAACAAGTATAATAGAGTTAGGAATATTAGTTTTATGTTTTCATTTCCTTGACTTGTAACCAATTAATTGACATATATAATGAATGTTAAAATCCAAATATTTAGCATTTCTTCTGAAAATCCTGAAATTTCTTTCAAACTAAATAGTATAAGCCACAACTTGCAAAACTAAGAAATAAAACCTTCTAGTAATCTTACAAGTAAAGTTTTCACCATAATAAATGAAATGAAAAATATTAGAGGGTATTATAAAAATGGTCATTTATTAAGGGCATGTTTGGGATCACTTTTTGTTTTTATTTTTATTTTTTTTAGTATGTTTTATTTTTGTTTTGTTTTCTCTTTTTGGATGGACTGTTATTTTTGGTGTTTCAAAAACAGGTAAAAACATGTTTTACTTGTTTTGAGTATTTAAAAAACATAAGTATTCCTCGAAAAACTAAAAAAACAAGAATAAAACAAAAAAAACAGACAAACAAACACTATTTTTTTGTTTGCTTCCTATTTTTTTGTTTTGAAAAATAAAAAAAATAAAAAAAATAATCTCAAACAACCCCTAAATAATTATTTATAAGGGAATGGGAATAAGAACATTCAAAAAAGACATGGTCATTGAATTCAAAGCTATTATTACATAAAACACAATTTAAATTAAAATGTAACCCTCAACTATGTAAAATATCTAAAGTTTTAAGACCTTTATAAATAATCTTGCAGGTATGGAACACATATATTAAAGAATATCTTTTAAACCAAACTAATTTATGCTAATTAACAGTAAAAAATGAATTATAAAGAGAATTATGGACCTCTTTATGAGAAAAGAACAAACCATTCTTCTAAGAACAAGACCATTAGTAATAGGAATTTTATAATTGCCTCATGCAAAATGGAGGAGCAATATGATTCTCAGAGAAATTCCATCTATTATCATAAACACTAACATTTAACTTGGAATTATGAGGAATGTTAAACAATTAAAACAAAATCACCATATGTTTTCACAAGAGACTTATTTTCCAACCAATGATTAAAATGAAAAAAAACATGGAAAATTTATTAGTAATATGAAAATTTAAATAAGATTTTAATTTAGAAGCAATTCTAATAAGTTCTTTCAAAAAAGGTAAAGAAGAATAATTAGTTTCCCACCAAAAAGAATAATAATCATTAAACAACCAATCTCTTAATTAAGAAAGATAATTATAATTTTTTCAAATAGTTTTAATTTTACACATAGTATTGATGTTTTCTAAATAGACCGACCTAAACCACCCACATGTCTTCTTCCAAAAAGCGGTATGATGCTTACTAGAATCATTAAAACTAAAGGAAACTTAGAGATTAAAAAATATTTTTTTTTTCTCAAAGCTTTAGGCAGTAAGGATGAACAAAATGAATAATAAAGATAACTCAAATAAGTAAATGTAACCAATTGAAAACATCCAACACCAAAAAGAGGCTTCTTCTTCCCGCCAAATAACCAAGAATAAATTTTATTTGAAAGATTGTGACAGTCATAACTAACTAATTTAGAAGGTTTAACAGCAACCCTAAGATAATTCCACGGCAAGCACTTAAAAGCGTGGCCAATAAAAATGTAGATTTGACTTTATAAAACATTATCAACACTTTTAGAAAATAAAATAATATATTTGAGAAAATTTAACTTTAGAAAAATTCATGAAAATTTCAATTATAAAATTAGGATGAGTAGAACCAACTTTGCTAAAAATAAGAAGATGATCACTACAAACCAAATGTTTAATATGAATAGCATTACCAACATCATCTAATTGTCTATAAAGCATAATTGAAAGAGAATCAATCACAATAGCAAAGAGATAGGGAGAAAAAGGACAACATTGTCTTAAACCAGAAGAAGTAAAAAAAAAAATATCATTTTAAATCATTATTAATAATTACAAAAAAATGAACATTAAATATACAAGCAAAAATTCAATTTATGACTTTTGCAGGAATATCAATTTTATGCAATATCATAATTAAAAAGTCTATATTAACTATATCAAAAGCTTTAAACAAAAATATCAATTTTGGACAAAACTTCTTGACATACTTAGTAGAATTAAATCCATAAAGAAATTCATTAACTAAAATGTTATTGTTAGCAATATCACGATCACTAATAAAAATAGTCTGCGAAGAATAAAGAATTTTAGGAAGAATAATTTTAAATCTACTAGCCAATAAAATAGAAATAATCTTATAAAAAAGTATTACAAAGAAAAATAAGACGATAATCATAGAAAGAGTTAGCCGAAGAACTCTGAGGAATAAACATCAAATGCTTAGCATTATTAAGAAACTTAGAAGTAAAATGAAAATATTTAATACTAGAAATACAGCCATTTCCAATAATAATCTAAAATTTTTTGAAAAATTTATAAGTGAAAATATGACAAGACAGAACAGAATACTTTTTTGATATCATAATCAGAAAATATTCTAATAAAAAATGAAGAATCTTCGATCAAAATAATACTCTTCCCCGACCCTTAATCGGAAAAAATATTACATCAGTACTACGCACGTAGAGTAACGTGCGTATCCAATGAAATCACGCCACGATACCCCGCGCGACGCAGAAAAAAAAACGGCGCAGTAACACGGGGAATATTCTCCCCCGTGTTATTCATGTGTTATTGTGTGTTATTCATGTGTTATTGTATCCTGGGAATATTCCTGATGTTATAATAACACAATAACACATGAATAACACATTAATAACACACAATAACACAAGAATAACACGGGAGAGAATATTCCTCCGTGTTAGTGCGCCTTTTTTTTCTCTGTCGGGAATATTTCCCGTATTATTCAAGTGTTATTGTGTGTTATTCATGTGTTATTGTATCATGAGAATATTTTTGGTGTTATAATAACACAATAACACATCAAGAACACATGAATAACATGCAATAACACATGAATAACGCGCAATAACACATGAATAACACAAGAGGGAATATTCTCCGTGTTACTGCGCCGTTTTTCTTACTCCGCCGCGCGAGATGTCGTGGCGTGTTTTGATTGGCTACGCACTTAAAAATAACGTGCGATGTAATATTTCTTCCCTTAATCGCGTGCCCTAGCCCCATTTTTTCGCGACACAGCCGCGGCCCCTCTTGTCGCGCCCGAAGCTCGCCGGCGAGAGCTCAACAGCTGGTGCTCCCCTCCTTGCCGGAGCTCCTATCCGAGGCTTTCACTCGAGCAGCTGGTCTCTCCCCCGCTTCGCCAGTTCTGCCCGAGGACCCGATCCCGAGCTTTCTCGCGGCTTCCTCCCAACGGCGACGCTTCTCCCGCCGAATAACCGCCCCCGTCGGCGCTCCCTTTTGCGTCCTACCCGAGGCCCTCGGGATCTGCCTTGCACGAGGAACCTTGGGCACGCCGCCCGTCCCCTCTTCGGTCCGTGTTCTCGCCGCACCCTGCTGCCGCCGGCTGCCCGACCCGCCCGAACTCTTCTTTCCTGCGACGCTGGTAAATCTCGTTCACTGCTTTTTTCCTTCACCTCACGGCAAAAGGAGGCTCCGCCCCTTTCCTCATTTGGTCCGTGGTTTTGCGGCGACTCCTTACCTGCGGTGCCCCCACCTCGCTGGAACCTCCTTCCTTGTGTAAAGGACCCTACCGCCTTTCATCTCCTTTTCAGCGGGAAGGCTCGCCTGAGCTCCTCACCGTCAGCGGACGGCGACGTCACTGCGTAAAGAGCCACAATCGACTTCTCTCCTACTGAGCTTCATCTGGAAACACGACCGTGGGACTTCGGTCTACCATCACGATGATATAACCTCGACACTTTTGATTTTTTTTACTTAGCTAACCCTAGGATTAGTTTAGGCTAAGCGTTGTGGGTCTGATCACCTGCACATGGTGAGTTGGCCGCCACATTAGTCAGCGCAATCACACTTTCTTGGATTGACCATTGATTTCCTTGAGGAAACCCTAGGTTAAGTTTCCTGTGTGTGGCCAAGTCCTACACAAAGCCGAGCAATTTCATGTTGCGAACCCTAGATCTAAATCCTAGTGGGTTGAAATCCCAATTTCCTCTTGCTTTGACATTCCCCAACATTCTTTGGAAGAGTTGGATGTTTGGATTTTACAAAGTGAGAAAAGCTTTGTATTCAACTCAACTTACAGAATCATGAGAAGTTGTGAAACGAAAAAAAACTTTGTTGCTAGCCCATTCCACAATGTCATGGAGAGCTTCACTTTTGAAGACCCAGAGGTGAAATAGTTCATGCACCTTGCCAAAGTAGGAGGCGACTATGCTGCACATCCAAGTGCTAAATCTTAGGTGCCTAAGTGAGGACGTTAACGTGAGTATGACTTGTTATCGAGCATGATTGTTTGCTTCAAATTACACCATGTGTCTTGGTTGGAGTATGTTACATTCGCAACTTGCCTCGATCGGCCTCCCTGACCGGGTCGACATAGCACATTAGTCCGACCCCTGACCCAATCGACCGATCACTTGGGTCCAACTAGTCTCACTAGAATGATCGACATAGAACTTTGGTTCGACGACGTGCCAGGGGGCCATGGCTTCATTAAGAACCCCTTCAAATTCAGACGCTCTTCCGTCACCTTCCCTTGAATCAACACAATGAGAAGCATGTTTCTGAGGAATAACAGTAACCTTGTTGGTCGTCTGGTCTTGAGCAACAATGCTAGTTTCATACATGGAGACAAGGTATTTCGAGGCCACACTATAAGAGAGCGGGTCCTCGTCTCCTATGGAACTACCTGATCCCGGGAGATGCCTTTTAGGTTGAATTATCCTTATAAAAAATTTATTATAAATCTACAATAGAAAATAAAACTTGTACTGAAGGAAAGCAAGGGATTCACGATTATCTTTGTAGCCTGACACTTGTCACTAATGGCATCAGACCGCCTTTTCAATTTTCGCAGTTAGTTTTTCATAAAATACAAATAAGAAGAAACCATGAGGTGATCTCAGATGAGAGATTGAAATAAAGGCAGATGCAAAAATCTCACTACAACTTCCACTGCATGTAGAAAACAAAGAAATAAAAAACTGTAGGCACCAATTATAGCTTCAACTATAAGTTATGACCAAGAATATTACAGGACTGATTTAGCATAAATCTTGCTAAATAGTCCAAATGGACATGCGAAATCCTATAGAAACTTGAATCCCGTTATACCTCTGTATGGACAATCAATGGTTTGGCGGATTGCAAATAGAAGCACAAAAAAGGGAGAAAGATGATGAAACTTGTTTGATGACTTTGCCTACAAGAGCACATTACACTTCCTTTCTTCTTTCTTCTTGAGGGTTTTCAACATGCCAATATCTCTATTCCCTCATACGTCATGAACTCATCAATTCCTTTTTAGCAAGATCTCGTTTTGACTTCCGACTTCTTTGTCGGCTAGGGTTTTGCGGAGGAACAACTGTGCAAAGTTGAGAGAGAGAGATAGAGAGAGAGAGTAGGGCTGTCAAATTGGCTCGTCGTTCGACAACAACTCGTGTTCGGCTCATTAGGCTTAACAACGAGCCGAACACAAATAAATTTTTATGCTTCAAATGTAAACGAGCAGAACACGAACAAACATTTGTTCGCTCGTGTTTGGCTCAAATTGGTTAAAAAATTAATAATAATTTTTTTAAAAATGACCAAATTTACCATATGGGCATTCTTTCTCACCATCTTCAAAGTTTCACTCATGTATCATCTTTTGTTTTCAAATTTAAATGTGATGCTTAGGAGTTAACAAACATCATTGTTCCTTCCCCTGTTTCCGCAACTAATTGAAGTAATGAACCATTTTTTTTACTTAATTCAATTTGGCATCCGTACATACTTTTCTAATTGCATGTCCCCTAATCATTGTGCATCTTCAGTGGTTTACAACGGTGCCACTCCATATGAAACTCTTTATCCTATTCTATTTTCTTTTTGCTTAATACCTCACATCTTGGTTGTGTTGTTGCACCTTCTCTTTGACCAGGCTATGTCCAACTATCTCTGCATTTGATGTTTCTATTTGTGTTTTTCTTAGGGCTCGTTTGGCAGGGCTTTTTGGCTACGGCGTGGTCATTTTCCGTGATTTTTTGGTGAAATTTACTGTTTGGTTCGTAACTATGCGGCACAACTTTGGCGAAGCGGAGAGAAAGCGGGCCGCTACAATAACACTGTAGCCCCGCTTTCATCCCGACCTTTTACCTTTTACCCCGCATCTTTCTCCTCTACCCTAACTGCACGGCACAACTTTCTAGCTCAGTCTTACCCCAATCTAAAAATAAGACAATTCGAAGAGGTTTCTCTTTTCACATAATAATTTCCTCTTTTCTGTTGTAGATTGGCATGCTTAGCTAGAAGTTTGGTTTTATGCAGTTCAATGACAAACTTAAGACAAATTGGATGGCTTACAGTGAATAGAATCTTCTATTATGAAAATGAGGGTTCAAAATTAAAGAGTTGCTATTGTTGTTATAGTTACTCTCTTCTCTCTAATACATATTAAAATTGTAAATAGCAACACTTCTTCCTTCTTGAAGAGCTTTTATTTTTTTTGCTTTTTATTGTGGATGCAATTGAATCATTGATTTTTTACTCCTTTATAAATTTAATGAGTGTTAATCATGAATGAATGGTTAGTAGCCACCAATCTTGCAAATTAAAACCAAATTGCATCCAAGATGGTTGAGGGAAAGGGAAATTAGACTAAACAGAAGCAGAAGATTCATGTTTTGGTATATTTGAAAGAGGGCTTTAAAGCTTATTGGTATGACCAATTGGTTGCTTGAAATTCCATGTGTAGCATTCTCTTATTGAAAAATAGGAATGCATACCTGCATTTTGTCGAAGCTCTTTAAATTTCCTATCTTCACTAAATACTTAAATTTACTCCATAATTATAATTACTTTTATATTTTTACATATATTAATCAATTTAATATATAAATATATAAATTTATGAACAATTTTAACAAACTGGGGCAACATGATCATTTTTCCATAAACAGCTGCCCCACATCTGTTTTCACACGGCTGCATCAAACAGGCTGCCAGCTTCCCCGCAGTAGTTTTCTGAGGTAGCGCAGCTGTAGCTTCTCAGCTGCAGCTGCGCCAAACAGACCCTTATTCTCATATTGAATTAGTGTTTTTAAAGTTACGATCCTTGTACTTAAAAATTGTAGCTGCGTTCATCAAAAGATATTCAACATAGGTAGACGAGTTATTTTGATAAACTTTTTAATGAAGTTTCTGAAAATACGATCGACCTTAGTGATCTTAATATTATTAATAATAATAAAATATTTTATTTTTACCGTCGAATTAGTAAAACAAAAGTTGATGCTTTAAAAAAAACTAAGGGTGGAAAGTTTGTAGGACCTGAAGATATCCCAATTGAAGTATGAAAATGTTTAGGAGATCTAGGAGTTTCTTGGCTTACTAAACTCTTTAATATTATTTTAAAAACTAAAAGATGCCTGAGGAGTGGAGGAAGAGTATTTTGGTCCCTATTTTTAATAATAAAGGGGATGCACAAGAGTGTGCAAATTGTAGGGGAATTAAATTGATGTGTTATACTTTAATATTATGGGAGAGGATAATTGAACATAGGGTAAAACGTATTACAAAGATTTCTCATAATCAATTTGGATTTATGTCGGACAGGTCTACTATGAAAGCTATACAGTTATTAAGAAGTTTGATGGAGAAGTTCAGAGATAATAAGGAGAATCTACATTTGATTTTTATTGATTTAGAAAAAGCCTACGATAAGGTTCCAAGAGATATCCTTTGAAGTAGGGCTGTCAAATTCTACACCCCAAAGTAGGGCGGAAAAGGAGCCGAGCTTGAGCGAGCTCAAGTTTGGCTCGTGTTCGACTCGTTTGAAATAGCTCGTGTTCGAAATCGGCTCGTGAACAGTATGCTCGTGTTCGGCTCGATTTAAATATTTCCGCTCGTGTTCGGCTTGAAATTGGCTCGTTAAACTAAAATGAAGAAAATATAATTTATTTTTTAAAACAAAAAAAATCATAAATTTTCTAAAAAAAACTGATTGTATTAATAACTTAATTCCAAACAAATTTGAAGAATAAATTTCTAGAAAAAATTTCATACAAAATTTTACACAAAGAATATTAATATTTTTTCACCAAATTTTACAAAATACAAACTTCATTATAAATTTTACAATTTACAAATTAACAAAAATATGAAAATTTACAAAATACAAACTTTTACAAAAACTTCATTACAAATATACAAAACTTTACACAAAGAATATTAATATTTTTTTACAAAATTTTACAAAATACAAACTTCATTATAAATTTTACAATTTACGCTATTACTTGTGTTCGAACTGAAGGAGGATTGACCAAATATTTTCCTATTTTTGTTGGATTACATCAGGGATCAACTTTAAGCCCATATCTTTTTTCTTTAGTTATGAATGGTCTTATTGGACATTTACAGGAGGATGTACCTTGGTGTATGCTTTTTGCTGATGATGTCCTTCTCGTGGATATGACGAGAGAAAAAACCCAGGAAAAACTTGAATTATGGATGTCAACATTAGAGTCTAAAGGCCTTCATTTGAGTAGAACTAAAACTAAATACATGGAATGTAATTTTAGTAGTAGTAGCTCCAGTGACAGAAGTGTAACTTTGGGTGATCAAATTATTAAAAGGTGTGAACGATTTAGATATCTCGGGTATATTTTTCAAAGCGATGGTGATATAGATAGGGATGTTAATAGTAGAATTCAAGTTGGTTGGTTGAAGTGGAGGAATGCTTCGGGCCTTTTGTGCGATAGAAAAGTACCGCTTAGACTGAAAGGAAAATCTTATAAAACAGTGGTGATACTTGCAATGCTCTATGGCACTGAATGTTGGCCTTTAAAAGAGAAGCATAGTACTAAGTTAGGTGTTGCCGAGATGAGAATGATTAGGTGGATGAGTGGCTTTACACTTTAAGACAAAATGGGAAATGATTATATCTGTGATAAGGTTGCTGTATCTTCTGGGATGGACGAAATTAGAGAAAATCATCTTAGATGGTTTGGTCACATTAAGCGTCGACCATCTGATGATCTGATTAGGAGAGTTGATTTTTTAGATTCGGCTTATGTTAAGAAAGATAGAGGTAGACCTAGGAAGACTTGGGCGTATTGTATAAAAAATGATCTTAATTTGTTAGAACTAAATGAAAATATGACACTAAATAGGACGCAATGGAGAAAAAGGATTCATGTACGTTGTGGGATTAAGGCGTTGTTGTTGTTGTTGTTGTTGTTCATCAAAATATGAAGTTAAACAAGATCGTTCTTTAATTTTTATGCCTTTATATAATAGATGTATATGAATATTTCCACATTATTTGATGCTTCCGACAATAAACATTCAATTTGTATGTACGTCGTCTTAAAAGCCCTCGTCAAATTTTTTTCTTTGAATTCATGATTGAGGTCCTTGCACACCTATAATTCTTGCCAACGGCATTCCTTCAATATCTATAAAAGTATTTGTCTTATCTTTTCTTTTAACTCTAGCTAATGTTTTGTATGTTCCACAATTCCTATCAACCTTTTATCCATACAATGTGTAACCAAGATTCAAAATTGCTTTTATTACTTTTATCCTGCTCACGTTGTTTTAAAGTTGGAAATTATTCATTATCCTCATGTTTTTGACTCACATTCTTGTTTGTAATTTCTCCTTATCATTGACATTATCGTTTGGCTCAAGTTCCCCGAGATCTTTAGAGTTTCACTCATGTATTGTTCTTTGTTTTCAAATTTAAACGTATGCCCCTTTCCCCATGTTCCCAACTTCTTGTGCTAACGCTATTCTTATTGTTTCACTTTGGCATACTATTCTTATTGAATGTCACCTACATCTTGTATTCTTTATCCAAATAAATCTTTATGTTGATTTACACCTCGTGCCTTGGTTGTGTATTTTGTACATTCTCTTTGCTCTAGCTATAACAAACTATCCTTTCATGCCTTCCAATGTTTTTTTGTCGGTTATTAGATAACCTCTTCACTCGTGCCTCATTCCCTGGAGCCTCATCTTTCGCTAGACTTTTACCACATCGTTCACTTATCCTTCTTTATAGATTCGTACTCATATAAGTATCTACTATCATGTCAGTTATGACTGAGCATCAAATGGCCACTTAGCCATCAAATTTACATCTTCAAATTACTTTATGAAAGTGTAAATATTACCCCACTTGCCATCTTGTGTAATTTCTTGTCTTTTGCTCACATCTTCTCTTCCTTTCACCGGCTTGCTTTAATTGGGGTATTTACATACATACCACCCAATTCCCTCTTATTTACATTTCTAACACATAACACATAATATTTGATTTTTACATTTATACCGCCCAAATCGTAAAAAGTACCACCATTTGAACTTCTAAAAAGCAAAAGGCACCTTTTCATACATAGTTAAGGTGGTATGCAGGTAAATAAAAATTGAAGTTTAGGTGGCTTAGGTGGCAGATATGTAAATGCATAGGAATTGAGTGGTATGCATGTAAATCTCCCTTAATTTTATCAATTGTATCTATTCCTAGGACAGACCAAGTGGCTATGCTTGACCTCAATTAGAAGTATGCTATGGACAATGTGACAACGTGCTCTTTTTGATCTTTGGACCAAAGAATTGGTTCTCATTCTTAGATTAAACCTATTTATTGTCGTTGCTTATTCACTGTTAATTTTAATTCTAATGACTTTATTGATCGCAACAAATTTTTTCTGGTGATGAAAAGATATACCAAATGTATGGACTTTGATTATTTTGAGTTTTAATTTTTTCACTATTTTGTGATATGAATGAAGTGGATGGTATAAATATAAAAATGCAAACTTTACGTAGGAGATACTTAAATACATCAGAATTAGGTGGTTTGTATGTAAATGCCCCTTTTAAATATTTATTAAAGTTGAGATATTATCACTGTGTGAATTTCCTAATAATGTTCATTTTGATCTCTCGAACACATTCAGAAAACAGTCCTAACATAATTTAATCAAACAATCTACCATTTCACTCAACCGAAAATAGCAGAAGATTATTTTTAATAATTCCTGAAATGTGAATCCATTAGAGCTCTGTTTGATTGTTGAAACTGTACTCTCCAGGTGCTTGATCGAATGCGATGGGGAAAGAGGGAGCTAGAAAGGCCGGTTCAATCTTCATCAGGCTGGTTTCGGCCGCCGGGACTGGTTTCTTCTACGTAAAACGCAAGAACCCAAGGAGAATCACTGAGAAACTCGAGTTTCGTAAGTATGATCCCAGAGTTAATCGCCATGTGCTTTTCACTGAGGCGAAGATGAAATAAATGGCATGCTGCTGGTATTTTACTATATGTTTTTGTTAGTCTTGATGTTCTGCTAGTAAACTATTTTATAATTGTAAGATTTACTTACGTGCCACCCGATTTTTATGTATTTACAAATCTAGCACCTAAATTTGAATTATATGCCATCTTCTTTATGCATGAAAAGGTTTATTTCACATTTTAAAATTTTAAAATGGCGGTAGCGTTAATGTAAGTAGAGTTTAGCTTAGATATGTAATTACATAGGAATTGGGTGGGTATGTATGTAAATGCCCCTTTGTACTTCTGTTTTGTCAATTGAAGAGATGTACTGCTATTCTATAAGCTTATATTTTGCATCCTAAACTTTATTATATAATTGAAGTTGTGTTTGATGATTGTGAATGAGTTGTTGGATGTATTGTGTTGATGGCGCCACATTTGTAGAAGTTAGTTCATGATTGTTTTAAGAGGATTTTCTTTTTTAAAAGGAAAAATTACATACATACCACTCAATTCTTATGCATTTACATGTCTATCATCCAAATTTTGATTTTTACGTTCATGTAAATTTACATGTATGAAAAAATGGATTTTTGTTTTTTTAAAGAGTTAAAATTGCCATATTTTTAATACGATATGAAAGATTTGGGGGTTTCACCTGTAATTATTTTTAACATTGATTAATTAAATATAATGATATTTATTTGAGATGTTGGGAGCGGTATATCGCATCTTAGAAGTTGGAACTTAGGGTCTATTTGGGGTAGCTTATAAGTGCGGGCGGCGTTTTTAAAATGTCACCGTACCGTTTGGTTCGCGTGTTTTGCCAGCTTATTCGAAACTGTGTTTGGGTTTTTACACTAAACGCAATCCGCGGGTCGACCCCTCGGCCGGCCCGCGGGCCGCGTCGGGGGCCCCCCCCCCGCCGGCCCGGGGGCCCGCGTCTCAGGATAAGCAGCTTATCCTGAAACGCACAAACTGTTCCAAACGGACCCTTAGAACAATGTGGGCTGAGGAGACCGGTTGAGATTAAAATTGTTTTAATTTAATTGTCATTTGAGCTCATATTCTGTAATAAAGATAAGTTGGGGAATATAATGCTGTTCCATCTATGCTCATTTAACTTAAAATTTTAATTGAAAATGTCAGGTGGACTTAAAACAACTTTTCCTATTTTAGGTTATATTATTTTACTTTTTCAATTCGTCTAAGATAAATATTGTATAATTTCCTTTGAAAATATTGTTTGCAGTTAATGGAATGATTAGAATCAACTCCATGTATTATACTATGTATTTGATCATTCAACTAAAAAATATATATATATTGGAACATGAAATATTTGAGGGGGAAAAAGAAAAAACCTTGGAACATACAATGTTTGAATGAATATAGGGGTTGTGTTAACGGATTTAGGGTGCGTTTGAGGCAACTTGTGTGTCACAGAATAAACAATTTATTCTGAAATGTGTCTCACGGGATGGCCGTGGAGTTCGACCCATTTATTGTAAAAATGAATTTGTGGATTTGGATAAACAAGCAAAACGCGTGATCCAAACGGTAGTGCGGTTTTTTAAAAAATACAACCACCGCACTTATAAGCCGCCTCAAAGAGGCCCTTAGAGCGGGATTTAAGCTCAATCAAGCTAGACGATCATTTTGGACGGAATGAAAGCCTGGATTTTATAAATCTGAATTTTGAATTTAAATCTCATAAATTCTAAATCCCATGAATCGGTAGATTTAGGAGATTTATGGGATTTACAGGATGTGCGCAGGGAGTAGGATGGACTTACGCTGATGCTCCAAAAGAGTTTAATTGGATTCATAGGATTTAGAAAAGTTTTGTTGCCATACAATTTTCCATCCAGAATTTAATGAATCTTGATTTACAGGATTGATTAAATCCTAATAACTTAAATGTGTTGCCAGACAGCTTCACCTAGAAATTTAACGAGTTCGTATTGGATTCGGGCGAATTAAATTTATAAAAAATAGTTTTGACAGTCAATTGGATGGTGGCCTTCATTTCCTATTATTCTCAATGCAAAAATAACTCAATTTGACTCCTAGAATCCCCGAAACCCGAAGCTCATGCTTTAGTGCACAGTTGGCGTTCAGAAACCCTCGTCGAGGTCGAGGAGAAGGCCCGCAGTGGCATTTTACTGCTTCTGGATGTATGCTTTTCTCATTTCCTTAAAATCTGTTGATCTTCCTCATTTTTCTGTGGATTTGTAAGAAATTATTGAAGTTAAGGGAAGCAGAAACACGTACACAATGAGACAGGGAGGAGCGAGATAGAGATTCTCAATTGTTTTCCTTGGATTTTTTGGGTTTTACATGGAGAAAAACAGTTCCAGTAGATTAAACTAACCGGATAAAGATCGAACCAATCTTTTTAGCTCGTTTTTTCTACATCGCCTTTGATCAAGTAACTCAGAACATGGTTTAATCAATTTGGCAGCTCTAGTGGCTTGATGTTCAAGTATTGTTAGAAATAAATGTGTATTAATTCTGATAAAGTAAATGGAGTTGTAGTAGTGATTCCTAGTAATGGTGGTCTGTTTCTTTTCATTTTTGTTTTGGCTTACTAGTTTGGTGTTTGGCATTATTGGCTTTTGCTTTGTTGTATAAAAAGAAAATATGGGAGACCAAGTTGTAATTTTTGTTGTTAGGGATACCAGAATTCTTAGTTTGATAGGCCAATTGTTGTAAAAAAAGAAAAAGGTAAGCTGCTATCCATTTTGTATTGTTTCTCTTAAATTTCTTGCCTGATTTGACCAGTAAGGAGGAAAAGACTTTGTTTGGAATAATGCAACTGTATTTCTACTTGTCATGCTTCTAGGTGCATTTTACTCCTTGAAATCTCTGGTTTAAGAAAACGACCAAATTGACTTTTCTACGTGATTTTAGGTAAATTGGATCAATGGCGATGGGGAATGAAAATGGTGCCAGAAAAGCTGTTTCAATCTTTATCAGGTTGGTTTCAGCTGCCTTTGCTGGTTTTTCCTAAGTTAAGCGTAAGAACCTGAGGGCACATGATGAACCATGAGCTCTGGAAGTTCGAGCGTTACAAGCCAAGGACACAATAAGAGGCTTGAGTTCTTGGAGTGTGATCTGAGAGTGAACTGCTATGTTAACAGAAGAATGGATGAAATGAAGGGCTGTTTATTTCTCTTAAAAGCTTTTGTTGACTCATTTTTATTTCTGAGGCCCTTTTGATGCTTTTATTAATTTCACATTTCTCCATTGGACCGTCTCACTTAATATGTTTTCACAATATGCTTGTCTTTTGTTTGAAGTCGTCGCATTTTGGCTGCTATTCAGGTCCTCTATTTTGCCCCCATAATTGTGCTCTTCAATAGGGACTCATGCGGCCTAGAAGAAAGTGGAAGAGTTACAAAGGATTGGATGACACCATCCCTAGGGACAAAAGCAGTTATAAGCTTTTATGTTCTGGCATGAGATTTAACGGAAGACATACTAGTCACACATACATTTGTTTTTGGTGCACTCCTAAAAGAAGTGATCATACTACCCTGAAAGAGGGAAGACGGTCCTACCTATGGACTCGAAAAACAAAAATACGTGACTCAAATCAACCAGAGATTTCCTCTATTCAATACATGTTTAATTTTATTTTGGGTAATTTGGTTTCTCATGGATGCAACCTTCCATAGTAATTGCATCTTTAGTGGAGGAGCCCAAAAGCACTCTCGATTAAGGATGTTTGTTCATTTTCATTCTAGAATTTGGCATATATTGGATTTTCTAAGTGAAGTTCCCTATTCCAATGAAAGCAAGCTCAAGTGGCTACTCAACTTTCATGATAAAACACAACCAAGCACATGTTGATGAGTACAAGAAAACATAGTATGCATGGTAGTCCAGCATGTGAGAGGACATCATCTAAGGATGAAGATATGTAGGCCTGACAATATCTGATAAATGGAAGCTCGCCATGATGATGAGAACTTAATTTTCTGTCTACTGAAATAGCACACACTTCAATGGCTTTCCTAGACTAGAAAGAATATATTTAAAACAAGAAAAAAAAATTTATAAAGCTGCTCTTAAAAACAGATGTCAGTAGAAAATAATATATAAATGAATAAACAAATACGTCTCACAAAGATGGTGAAGGGGGTCCTACTAGGTATTCTAAGAATAGTAGAACTAACCTATTAGAAAATTTGTAGTCATGATATATTTCGAATAGATCTACTGGGGGTCAGTTGCTCATATAAAGCTGTCATTGTTCCATGCAGTGCTATGATTTTCTTTCAAATTCCTTTCTCATAGCCTTATAACTGTAATAAACTATTTGGTTAGAAAAGTTCATGTCAAATTTGTAATCGTGAAGAGATTCATGTGCATATGTTTGAGGTTATGTTAAAACCTGTTTCATTCATGATCACGCTTCACGACATGTGTGTGCCTCAATTTACATTTTGCATAGTTCTGTCCAAGATCTTCATAATTTTCTAGCATCATTTTAGGTGCTGTTTAACCAAGCATATCACATTACATGATTGCATTATTGCACTTTTTTGCAAGGATTTACGTGGCTTTCATACATCATATTGTGTGGAAAGCATGGCATACACATTATATACATTGCATAATAATCCTAAAGGTTATATTTATTCGTATTTATTACTTGCATCACTATGCTAATATTTTCTCTTATATATTACTTTTGAGGGGTTTGTGACTAGTCATGTCGTTCGTGAATCGGTTTCCCTAGACCTAGAGTGTGGTTGTTCGTTATGCTTGAGCATGCACATATGCTTCTGTATATTCCCATTCCCTCCTTTCAATCAGATCCCCGACTGGAGTGTACTTCTTCATTTATTGATCACCTCTTTGTTTGCTACGATTTGGCACACACTACAAATGAATGCTTGTACTTTTACACTCACATTTAGGTATGGTCGAGTCAGACTATAGCAAATAACTCTTCTTTTAGACCACAAGAGAGTTTTTTGGTCATATATCGTCTATCCCCACTTGTTCATAGGTGGATTGGACTATGGTAGTTCAAATCAACCCTTATATTGTGTGTCATGAACCGTTTGGCTATTTTTATTTTCTATTAGTGGGCGAGCCATTTTATGTCACACCTACCCACGATGACAACAGGAATTCTGACCCATCAAGGTATTGTTCGCTTTGGTCTAGTGGCCTCACAATTTTGCCCTATTGGTGTAACTTTCTAGGACGTCACCAATCCTAAGAGTGCTCTAGGACGAGCACACTTAACCTTATAGCTTACAATTAAACCAAAATGCGCCTCATTGTTTAAGAGTTTAGCTTCATTATACTCAAGGGGGTTCACAATCTTCCCCACTTAAGTACCTGATGTCTTCATCAGTTTTCTTATCCCAAAATCATCCATCATATAGATGAGATTCTAGAGGTAGTCTTTACAGATTCAAGAAGTGACTCCTACCATGTAGCACTTTATCCTATCCAGGGTTTAAGAGGTGTCTCCCGTGGCATATCATTTTATTTTGTATGACACTTCTCGTCTTTCGATCCGTGCAATGCTCCGATACCATTTGTGACGGCCCAAACTCTACCTATCAAGGTATTATCCGGTTTGGCCAAATGACCTCATGGTTTTGCCCAGTTGGTGTAACTTCCCAGGAGATCACCCATCCTAAGAGTGCTTTAGGACGAGCATGCTAATTTTGGAGTTTCTAATGAAATTTCACCGTCACACCAAAAGACACATCACTATTTAAAAGTTCAACATCATTTTGCATAAGGGGTTTCACACTCACATAGGTATGAGCTTTAAACATTCAAGTATTTCTAAAAACACAAAAAAATATATAATATAAAATGCAGTAAAATTGATTGAATGCCAAATTATATGTGATACTTAACCAATTAACCAACCTATTAAAACTCATAAAATTTATATTTTATATGACACCTTGTTTATTCGTTAGGAACCCTCGATCATAATCTCTCTCCGTATGTTGTAGGTGTCTTAACTCACTTTTTCCATTTGCTTAAATTAGATGGCCTTAGATCTTGGTCGGTGGTTTGACTTAGATACATTTTATATTTGGACTGTTTGATATAGTTTTAGTCTTCTCCTTAGATGACTCTGAGTGGTCAAAGGATTGTTCTATAGGTTAGTTCTTCTATTTTTGGACTAGAAGGACCACCTTAGCCTAGTCTGTCAATTATATGATACTTGACCAGTTAACCGACCTATTAAAACACATAAAATTTATATTTTAGAAGGTTCCTTGCTTAGTCGTTAGGCAACGTTGGTCATAATTTCTCTTAGTATTTTGTAGGTGTCTTAACTCACTTTTTCCTTTAGCTTAATCTTAGATGACCTTACGTCTTGGTTGGTGGTTTGACTCAGGTTGTCTCATATGATATTTGGTGTCCGATGACTTTTCGATTCAGTTATAGTCTTTTCCTTAGATACTCTAATTGGTCTAATGATTGTTCTATAGGTTAGTTCTATTATTTTAAGACTACTACTAGAACCACTTTACCTCTTTGACCTTAGCTTAATCTGCCAATTATAGAAGATTTCAGTGGTTTCGATTGGACAGTCTCATGATATTTGTGCTATTTGATGACTTTTATATATAGTTCTTTCCTGTTAGATGATTCTAAATGGACTAGAGATTATCCTATAGGTTAGTTCTACTTTTTTTAGACTATCTGGTAGGACCCCTTTATCTCTTTGGACATTAGCCTGGTCTGCCAATTATAGAGGATTCTATAGTTGTCTTCGCCATCAAACGAACTAAGAAAGAACTTTAGAAAGTTTCAAATGATTATGATTTATTTATCGATTCTCCCTCTTAATTTTAGGATCCCTTAGAAAGTGTTAAGCAAAATGGACATTTGATCATAAGACTTCATTAGTGACTAGGCCAACCTAGTGGACCCTTCCTGCCCTTTATTATCTTAGCCTTGGCCTGGTTAAGTATAGGTGACCCGATTTTTTAGCCATGAACTTTGGGTTATTCTTGGAGAGATTGATGGTATATCCTAGATAGCCTTAGAGAAATTTAGATTTGATTAGTGGCTTGAATAGTCTTAGGTGAACCCTTGATCTTGAGAATAACACGGCCTATGCAAAGGTGGGCCAAGTCTATTCTCAAGATTTTTTTTAATTGGTAAGGCTTAGACATTTGAAGACTAGGATATTTAGAGTGGGATCAAGCTCATTCCTTAATATTCAATCCCTTTACCCTATAGACTCATGTCATGTCATAGGGAGTCAGGAATTGATCAAAGTGTACTTCTTTAGTACATTTTATATCACCCCAAGCCTTAGATCTTGGATTTATGACGAGGAGATGAGCCCACCTCACATCTTATTTTTTAAAATATAGAGTTATTATTCTCTAAGGTTTATGTTTGGAGCTCGTGTGGTGGCATGTCTCACCCCAGGGGGGCTATATTCATCACATTTGGGTTTTTTATAACCGTTTAAAAGATGCAGACAATTAGCATAAATCATTATTAACTATACATGAACTGCTCTCTAATTAATAAATTTAAACATCACCTAATCGTTCATATGAATTGAATAAAACACATTTTATTAGATTGACACCCTCTCTAATTTAGTAAACACTAAATGGTGCGATAGATATACCCTTAAGTTTCTTGGGCTATGGCTTCACTAAGATCTTTTTTTTTTGCATGTAATGATGTGACTTGTTCTTTATGATGTGATATCATAGCGGGCACTTGCCCTTTATTGGGAGAAATTTAACTCACAGAATAATCTCCTTCATAAAATTCACCGAGGCTTAGACTCAAAAATATAAACCGCACCACACCACCACGGAATAGGATTGCGTAAATTCGAGAAGATTGGAACAAATTTATGAACAGAAGCGCAACAAAGCAAACGAGAAAAGTACACTGGAATTTAATGTGGAAAAATTCGAGAACGGGAAAAAATCACAGAGCCACACCACAAGAAAATTTAA